CCATTCTACTCTACTAGATTGTCGGCCGAATTGGCGAGTGGTGCTGCTAGCTGTGCTCCATCTACTGTGGCATCATCAGCTCCAGCTTCTTCTGCTGCTTCTTCTGCTTCTCCAGTTTCGTCTGCTGCTCCAGCCTCTTCTGCTTCTCCAGCTTCTTCCGCTGCCCCAGTTTCTTCCGCTGCTCCAGCTTCGTCTGCTGCTCCAGCTTCTTCAGCCGCTCCAGTTTCTTCCGTTCCTTTGTCATCAGCCTCTGATGTTATCACTGGGACCACTACCTCTACTGTGTTTGTCACATCTACACACTACACTTCCACTACGATCGTGACCGATTGGGTCACTGTTGTTGCTCCACTTGTTAAGAGAGACGCTGGACTTGCTAAGAGAGACGCTGGGCTTGCTACCGTTTTTGTTACCAGTACCATCACTGTTGATGGTGTATTCACTTCCACTGTTACTTCTACAACCACTGTTACTACATTGTCTACTGCTTCTTCTGTTCCAGTTTCGTCTGCTGCTCCAGCTTCTTCCGCTTCCCCAGCTTCGTCTGCTGCTCCAGCTTCTTCCGCTGCTCCAGCTTCGTCTGCTGCTCCAGCCTCTTCCGCTGCCCCAGCTTCGTCTGCTGCTCCAGCTTCTTCCGCTGCTCCAGCTTCTTCTGTTGCTCCATCTTCGTCCGTTACTCCAGCCTCGTCCGGCGCTTCAGCTTCGATTCCGTCTAGTGCCTCCGCTCCAGCGTCTGTTATTCCAACCCCATCTACTACCGCTCATGTTTCGTCATCTGGTGGCGTATTCACTGCGACCTCATGGGTCACGGAAACCACTTGGGTACTGCTCTGTGGATAATGGGATCGCTTTATCCCTATAACACTCGTTAAAAAGGTGGCATCTCAGACCTTTCTACATGCCAGGGAGTATCACCGGGCATGGTATCCAACCTTTGTTGAGGTATCTCACTAATACCCATAGATAGAGAATCAAAGATTATATTATATTTAAACCATTGTAGGATTTTTGGATTAACTGTACATATTCGGCACTCGTTATTCCCTGAGAATGAACGCGCAGCTAGCAGCCCCATTTCTGCCCATATCTTGGGCTGTGTTGACCCTCGGAGAATACATGAGATAAAAAGCAATCTTGGATAACCGTCTAATCAGATCCAGCTATGGTATTTGACCATCGACACAAGATTTGGGTTCAGAATCGATACTTCCATGACGACATGCAATTTCCCAGATGGCACAACTTTATCATATTCCGAGAAGGATTTATTGTATACGGCAGTGCATTCAAATGTGACTAGGTACATGGGCCATTACTAGAACACCATGGAGAATATTATTGATGCTTCACTGGTGATGACTGTAGCAAGGATAAATGTGTATGCTTTGAGCTATGTCATAGTCTAGAGGAATTACCACTCTAAGCTTGCTAAACATAGCAGGATATAAGTAGTCACTGAATTTGCCCAAGACTCACTTGGGGGTAACGAACATTGCTTCCGACGATCTTATTTAGCGCTGTATGCTATGCACTGCTGAATGATTAGCATTTTCATAATACTAATTCGTACAATGCCCTAGCTACAACTACATTACCAGTACCTGACCGTATTCATCCTTTTCTTGCGTGCTTATCTGAGGAGTTTTATCTCTAATAAACCAATTCTCGGTTTGTACAGTACATTCACAAGGGCACATGCATGTGCACGATTCGGCTGATAGCAGCCATAATCGGGATTTGTCATTACCTGTAAATTTGTCATTATCTATGGTTCGCCACTATCCGTATATTTATTATCCTAGTTTCTAAGCAAAAATTCTCGCGTACTGAAATTATGAGAGATGCGGAGGTTTTTCATTGCTATATAAAGCAATCGTATCTTCCCTGAGTATGGCTCATCTATACATAGTCATTCACTCACAAAAGCTATTCCTACACCATGTCTGCACCAATCAACCTTACTGGCAAGAATGCCTTCGTTACCGGCTCCTCTAGAGGCTTGGGCCTCCACGCTGCCGAGGGCTTAGTCCGCACCCAGATTTCCATTGTCTTTATCACATCCAGAAGTGATGAGGCAGTCCAAGAGGCCAAGAAATACCTTGAGTTAATCGCCGCCGAACACAATCCAAAGTGCCAGATCGTCGGAGTTGCTGCCGATATAACCAGCGACCTGGGCTTGGATACTCTTTATAAGGCCATTGCGGCGAAGGTGGATAAGCTCCACATCTTGATCGCCAACACCGGTGTTGCCAAGGGTGGAGTGATTGAGGCCCACCCTATTTCTGCTATTCGCGAGGTTTTGGATGTGAATATTACCGCGGTATTTGCTTCCATTCAAATGCACTTGTCGTTGTTGGAGAAGGACGGCACACCTTCTAATCCTGCCAGAGTCTTGATTACCGGTTCTGTTGCTGGTATTAGTGCAGATATAGGTACGAGCAGCTCCTACGGGTACCAAGCCTCCAAAGCTGGCGTGAACCACTTGGGCAGAGTCCTTGCGTTGGAGTTGGGTCCACGAAACATTACTGTCAATGTCCTCGCGCCAGGTTTCTTCCGTACCGAAATTACCAACGGTTTGTTGGACGTTATGGGAAACGCTTACGCAGCGAATAACCCAAGGGGGAGAGTAGGCAACTCCCAGGACTTTATGGGGATCGTTCAGTTCATGTGTGGCGGCGTTGGCAGTGACTACCTCAATGGTGTTGTATTGCCAATCGACAGTGGGATCCACTTAGCTGGTCGTCTCTTTAAGTAGTTTGTTTCACGAATAATGTACTAAAGGTACCATTGAACCAGGTAAATGTCTTTGGCCGATCTCTTCTTATCTCAGATTGGACCGCGTCCTATACAACTACCGACTCAGGAATTTCGGCACTATGTCTTACGGCCGAAAAATATCCTTTTGATTGGCTAATAGTATCTATCACCATCTAAGAGTTTATCGATGTAGTGCATGAAATAGGGTATCGGAATGTTGTATATACCGGTAGTATAGAATATTATTTTGATTAGGGGTAGGAGGATATCTTTCAGTGACATCGGCAGATATTAATTGGCACCTTTAACAGAATAGACCGATTCATTTGAACCGATAACGTTCGGGGTCGCTTAACCTAAGACGCACGCCACTGCGAACAAGAATGATACCAAGAGTTTCATGGGCAGCCACAGAACACTGGTTCCAAAGTTTTCCGTACCAGGTCTTGGACAACCTGCAGACTTAGTCAGTGTGCATTGGCTAGATGAAATTTCAACACCGGTACCGGGATAGCTAGAATTAAACAGGTACATGGTGAGAGAGTGAATTTGTTAATTGTTAGCATTATGTATTACCTAGAAGTGAGCGAAGAGGTTCTTTTATACCATAAAAATGACTTAATCACAACTCACTAAATGAAGGAACGGATCTATACAAGCTAAAGAATGTCAACGACGCACAGTATGCGAAGCAACTCCTATAGCATATGCACCATGCCATTCCTAATTAGAGTAAGGGTTCATGCAAGTCGAAGCACGTCCGCGATGTATGATCTGTAGACTTCTTTAACTCCGTTCAGCATGATAGAGGCTAGCATCTAAAATACCACCACATATGAAGATTTTAAATCTTTATCTGCATCACAGATTATGTGAGTACGACAGGACTTCAGTGATTGGCTTTCTCTACTAAGCTGGTAATTACCCAATTTTAATGCTCAAAGTCGCATTTCACCCGCCAGTAAAGTGTGCCCCTCCTGTGGTGTGCGTTTCTTACTGGTGTATTTCCTGCGGAGTTGAGGTTGGTGTGCAAACTGAGGCGTGAGGATCCCTCTTTGGAAAGAGTGCGTTTTGTGTGTTATTAGACAATATATGCGGTACAGCGTTTTAATAACAAAGAAAACACATGTTATTGGCTACTCACTATTTTACAAATGTTTGGCATAACAATGTGCTTTTTCTTTAATAATCGTGGGATATGTTCTTGTTTATGCTTTTGGTATCAACCGTATAATTTGGGCTCAGGAGACCTGCATGTACATGCGGTGGGCGCTAACGAGCTATTTATGGGCTGATTTTCCCATCAATCTCCACAAAAATGCACTCACCTACGATTGGCAGCCGGAGGAAGAAAAAATTTGACCTTTCTCGGCGGAGAAGATTCTTTTCCGATCCACGGTCTGTCCCTATAACATAAGCGTATGGTGAGGCTTGGTTCATCAATATGTTCAAGCTAGTGTGGGGGAAACGCGTTACGTTCGTGTCTACCACATATTTCTCAGTCTCTAATATCTTTTTCTTGAACTAAAGCTACCATTATAGGAGCTCATACTGCAGAAACCAAATATTTCATGTCCAAATATGCATGCCAAGTGCTTTAAAGATGCTATTTAACCCCGCGGGCTTGATCGGCAGATGACCTTCCACCTCCGACAGGAAGATACTCTATACTATGGCCGACCGTACAACGCCCCGGTATCCTATCTTTCTCGATCCAATTTTACGAGACGTCGTCATCTAATCATGGCAATACCGCTTCTGGTAATCAGTATACAAGGTCTTTGACTTCTCTTTTGTTTGTATATATCTTTCCTATAAAAAAGTATTTGGAATATAGGGGATACGGTGTGTATAATTTGTAATTTATGTCATGCTTTGGAAATAGTGAGATATATCCCTCATTTTTTGAGTCGTAGTACTTTGATCGAAGCTCAGGGTAGTATTTTTACGCCTGCACTTCTCCTTTCCAGACTTTTTATGAAATTCATTTTTATCCTCCAGACCTGTGACTGCTGCACGATAGGACGGAGGTGGGTCTGAAGGTAAAACGACCAATTTCTGCTCAAATATGGTACGTATGGATTCAGGATTATGCATATGATACGGAGAAATAGTACACGCATAGGACATGCTATAAACAGGAACAGAATGTCGTACACAAGCAGCGTGGCAGCTGATCTAATGGCCAACACGATGCAAGTTGAGAAGTTAACTAAACCGGAATTAAGGCAAAGAGAAACTAGGACTGCCAAAAATACCAGCTATATTAACGTAGTTCTGAAGATGTAAAATTGATTATAGTCGTCTGAATAGTGTGCAATATGGCACATTTATCGCGGAGAGCACATGGAGCTGTATACATGGTGAAACGGGTAAAAAAGTGTTCTAATATCTAATTTTATACCATATGGTGTATAAACTTCAACTTATTCTTGTTTGCATAACCTTTATCTATGCGTTTGATCCATGAATGGTAATTACCCTGTACTAGCCGTTGGTATATCCATTGTCTACACCAAAGCAGCCCAAACTGGAAAAACAATTCACCTTGAGGTTAATCTCTCAACCATAAAAGTTGTGCCATCACACACTTCATTGGTTTATGGTATACTATCATGTAGACTTCGGTTTCAAGTGGTCAATTAATCAGTATCACCTATCACGTTGGAGTATAAAGCGGATACGTCTACGCAGAACCAAAGGATTTCAATATATATATACATCGATTGCCAGGTAACTTCTCATTATACTTCCCATACTGAAAATGCTTCTCCTTACGCAAATTACTCACTATTGATACTAATTAAATCATGGTGAACGCCCGAACAAAAGGATATATCCCAAGATAATTCCAATTTAATAGATAAATTGTATTCCTGGGTGGGTCTTCTCAATTTCTCTTCCTAACCGATATCTGTCGATCGCATTAGCTCCGATGGATACTCTCGTCAAGTTGTCAGGGAATTCTAAGCCTTGAATTTCCTGCACAGACAAACTATTGTTAGCTAAATCTAAATACCACAATTTTGACGGAAGTTTGGTTAACCCAACGAGACTTGATAAGCCCTTAGATTTATTGAAACCCTTCGACAAATCTCCTTGTGTGAAAGCGCTATTCGGGAGAATGTCACGCGTTTGAGCCGCCAAGGACAACCTTTCAAGAGATTCAGGCAACTTCAACTCGTTGATGGCGCTAATTGCGTTTCTCGAAAAGTCCAATTCCTTCAATCCTGGAGGAAGCTGTATGGCATCTATTGAGGTAAACTTGTTACCATAAAGATCCAACTTAAGTAGACTATCCGGAAAATCGACATTGGTCAAACTGGATATTTGATTTTCTTGGAGACGCAATTCTTCCAAATATGGTGGGAACTCAACGTTCTCCAACGAAGTTATCAGGATACCAATTGCAACCAAGCTGATTAGTCCCGTCGGAAACAGGATTTCTGATAAGGAGCCAACATTCGCGTGGTCTATCGAAAAGTTAGTGAGACATTGCGGAAGGGGAGAGGTATCACGAAGCGTAGTAACGGAAACTTTACTTAAACAAAGATCTCGGAGTCTCAAATCTGGATCATATGCGTTGGAGATTTGGAGCTTTCGAAGAGGGTTTTCAGAGAGCTCAAGCTTGGTACAATTTACCGGAAGGTGAAAGTTCACCAATTTTTTCAATTGGTTATGCTCGAGATTCAATAATTGAATGTTGTCAGGTAGCCTCTTTGAAAGCAGTTCAAGGTTATTGTCACGCAAGTTAAAGATGATCAAGGTTGGTGGAATATCGAGTCCCTCGACTGAGACCAACTTATTGGAACTCAAGTCTAAGGAGGTCAAGGCTAGTGGAAGACTGAGCCCGTCGACTGACACCAACTTGTTGTAGCTTAAGTTTAATGTGTTCAAGGTTGGTGGAAGATCGAGTTCCTCTACTGAAACCAAATTCGTGAACCTGAGATTCAAATCTGTCAAACTTGGAGGGAAAACAAGGTTTCTCGGTGAATATATGGTAAATAAAGAAGGGCTCTCTCTGAGATCAAGCTTCCGGAGATTTTTGGGGAACTCAATTTGGCATGAGTTGGTAATATCTGCGCCTTCATCTGTTTCATTTAAACGATCAAAGGAAGTATGAGCGAGGCTGAGGACGTCTAAGGATCCCAGTAGCGAGTTGACAAAATTTAGCGATGATAATAGGGTGTTCGTAATCAGTAAAGAAACCAAGCTCGGAGGAAACTTGATAATGCGAATCTCAGATGATGAAAGACTCGTGTGGTCTAAGACCAACTCTTTGAAGGAGTCCGGAAACACATCCACACGAAATTTCTTTAAAGGACAATAGTTAATAGACAACTTCTGCAACTTCAGAGGTAAGCTCCGTTGTTCGAAGCTAGTAATTTTAAGATTGCAGAGTTCCAAGTTCTCTAACAGCGAGGGAAATTTAAAGTGCTTGTAGATCTCCGTCATGCCTGACACGTTTTTCAAGCGTAAATATTTCAAGTTGTGTAATCTTAACTCATTGAAGTTTTCAAGGGAGATGGATCCCAATAGCAAAGATTTCAAGTTGGGTAGGTTTAACTCATTGAAGGCCTCGACAGAAAAGTCTCTGATCTCCGCTAGCTCCAATTTCTGCAAGGTTGAAGGGAGGTCAGCATATGCTGACATCGATCTCCAGGGAATCATCGAAACAAGTTCTTGGAGAGACGGTGGAAAAACAATCCTTGGAGCATTAACATCATCGTCACAATCATATTTGTAGCAGTACAGGAGGTTAAGCTTGCGTAAGTTGGTGGGCAAAGGCGGTATTTTTGGACCAATATAAGGGTATGAAACGAATATTTCTCGAATGCTCTCCTGCGCCAGGGGTGAAGATGGCAACCAGTCCTAGCTGAATACTATATACCACTCCTTCTGCATATCAAAATCTAATATGACATCAGTGACGATTGAGGACACCTTGGTGAACACTTTTTCATGGAGGAATGTAAAATTTTCGGCTGGTGTGTATATATATATATAAAGCTTCTTAATACGAAGCTGGTCAAACGTATCGCTATTAACTAATGCTTCAAAGTCAGAAGCCTTCATGATGAGAACCTCATTATAAATACGGGAGTAGTCATATTCGTATGGCGATTCGTCGAAATTCAATATAATGCTTGAGTAGTAGCGTCTCCGAGCCACCAAAGCGAGACTCGCATTCTCCGGGTTCATCACATCGGCGACTGTGGAAAGTGGTAGATAGGAGACGATCTTTTCGACAATTTCCAACGGAAGGATACCACCAAATAAAGGAATTTCGTGCGTATCCATGTTGGCGAGGGGGTAGTGAAAGGTGAGAGTAGCAAAGGAGGTGTGGGGTCGACAAGTTTGTACAGCGTGGAGTAGATACTCTGAGCCTTATAGAATCTGGTTAGTGGGGTTTGCGAGGGATTTGGCCAGTTGGTGTTAGGGGCTTAGTCAGAGTGAAGCTGATGCGATGGACGCAACACAGGCAGCGGGGTTTGTCAGGGCTCTGGTCCATCAGTGCGGGGAGTTTGCTCGCTGTGCGTTTCGTACCACATGAACGTATCCAAACAAACCGGATAGCCCTGCATTCCCAAGATCACGTGGTGGGTGGCAAAATCCTGAGTCATTTAGTGATGTCAGTAGCTGCAATACTACTCCACATGGATGCTTGGTATTTAATATGGATAACATAATATTGGTTGATATACGCTGGGTACAGTAGTCTCGAGGTAGGCTACAGGGTAGGGATGCATAGTAAGCTGCATAGTATGTTGCATAGTAGGTAGAGGCCATATGTAGGCACTGGCCTCAATCATTCAAGCTAGAGAAGAGGGAGCACCAAAATGAATATTTGAGCGAGCAGGATTGAATAAGGTGAGGAAGATAGGTTAGAATAAATGGTATCATGCAGGGTAATTATAAGAGTAGATGAAGGAGTATTGGTGGAGATAGACTGGATAAAGCTGGCAGACTGTGGGCTGCATAGTAAACTATATAGGGGGCTACAGAGTAAATTATATAGGGGGCTACAGAGTGAGGTTATATGCAGGCACTTACCTCAGCAGTTCAAGCCAGGGCATTGGTGTATCAAAGTGGATGAATATTTGAGAAAATAAGATCAGATAAAATGGATACAAGGTATTGGAGTAGAGTGAATCAGGTGAGGTAGTGATATGAGTGAACACGGCGATATTGGTGGAGATACACTAGGGGTAATATTCACATAGTAAATTATATAGTAAACTATATAGGGAGCTGCATAGTAAGCTATATAGGGAGCTGCATAGTAAACTACATAGTGAGGCTATATGCAGGCACTTACCTCAGCAGTTCAAGCCAGGGCATCGGTGTATCAAAGTGGATGAATATTTGAGAAAACAAGATCAGATAAAATGGATAGGATTTACTAGAGTATAAAGAAATGTGTGATATAGAAATATTAGTGAACGAAGCAATATTGGCGGAGATACACTAGGTATAATGTTCACATAGTAAACTACATAGTAAATTATATAGTGAGCTAGATAGTGAGGTTATATGCAGGCACTTACCTCAGCAGTTGGACCGAGGGAAGGGGTGTATCAAAGTGGGTGAGTATTTGAGGGAACGTGGGTGAACAGGCTGGAGAAGATATATTTGAATAGAGAACATCGTGTGGTTTGATAATATGAGCGAACAAAACAATATTGGTGGAGATAAATTAGGTATAATATTCTTATAGTAAGCTACATAGTGAGCCGCACAGTGAGCTACATATGCGTAGGTAGATATATAAGTATATATATAAAAAATATATATAAAACAAATATATACAAACAAATATATACAGACATAATTATTCTAAAAGATATGTATATGTAAATATATGAGTATACGTTGATACTTTTCAGAATATGGAAAAGTTTATACCAAATATAAGCTGGTCAAAAAATGTAGTACAATATATCATTTGAAAGACAAACACGAGGAGAAGGAGGAGTAGAATAGGAGAGGAGTAGAAGAGAAGGTGAGGGTGCGGAGGGAAGGAGTAGAATAGGAGAGGAGTAGAAGAGAAGGTGAGGGTGCGGAGGGCAGGATAGTGGTAGGAGAGGAGGATATAAGTGGGGTAGGAGAGGAGGATATAAGTGGGGTAGGAGAGGAGAGGAGGAT